AGTTTAGTTTTGAGTAAAAATTTAAGGATTTGTGTGGTGGTGTCTGTATCTGGTCAGAGTGCTGCGTCTGTAATTATTATTGTCTGTTAGTATATTTCAATAATAGATGTTCGTCACAATACTCTAAGGACTACCTAATTTTATTATATTGTTAGTCACCGGAACAAATTTAACCGGAAACCTAAAATCTAATAAATTCATCTGGTTATAGGTTTATAAAATATAATATTTAAATATGAAGAATAAATATCTCATGGAATTATTGAACTGTTCCAAGTTCTAACTGCAGATAATAGATAAACGATGACAGGTAAGTAAAAATAAATTTCAATATTGATCTCTCAATGGGCTCCAACTACATGCAATTTCGTATAAGAAATCACCCTTGTTCCTTAGAATTGAAGATTGAATCATTTTTTTAAAATAAAACTTGTACCTACGCATACACAAAAAAACACGTCATTGTAAAGTCAATACATCTAAATTGTTTTACTAAGAATCTAAAAGACTTAACCTGGAAGTATAAAATAAGCACTACAGGTCTGCAGTGTATAATACGAATCGAAACACAAATCCTTGTTCAAATATTATAGTTTAATATATTATAACAACCCTTATATATCATTGATAATGGTCTTGGAAAAATAAACGGGCCGGAAATCTTAAAGATAGTTGATTAGAAAAAACGACTTCGCAACGACCATACTCGCGTCGTTGTGTACCCGTTGTCTGGGAAATGTTTGAATTTTTCGAGTAAACTGATTTTGAATTGAACTTCGAGTTCACTTGCAATTAAACGTCTGACCTGAAACAACCAAAAAAATGACCACTATTGACGACTTTGCTCGAGAAATCGCCATAATGTTAGTCGAACGCGTAGAGGAAGAACTAATAACGCTTGAAAGTAAAGACATAGAACGAAAACTAGAGAACGACGAAGACGAAGACGATAATATACTAGGCGACATAATTTGGTTGTTTATTGAAAATGAAACGGCCGAATGCAATGTCGAGGTAGGCAGCGGAGACGCTGCAGCTGTAGACACGACGCCCTCCGAGAAGCTCGGACCATCCGAGCAGGGACAAGAACTTCAGCAGGCTGAAGACTTGCAGCAAGAGCCAGGACAACAGAAAGAGGCAGACATTATTCCATCTGAGGGAGAAAACATCAGTGCAGTCCAACGTGGTAGGATTATAAGGCGGTTGTGCGCCGCCACTTGGAGAGGCGCGAAGCGCGTACTGCTCTGCGGTTGTTTCCGGAGGAAGTGAAGCCAGCGGCATAGCGAACCCCCTCCCCCCCAGATGAAGACACCATGACAAGACGGCGGCGACGGGGGAGTGGTACGTGAAAGAGCACTTTACGGTGCCCGGTGGTAAGTCACCCTATACGTTTTCCGGCCACCCGCAGAAAGACGAGATCGCAGTCGCCAGCGTCACGAGCTCGCGGTTGCCGACACGCGAGACCATCAAGACGACTCGGCGAAGGCCCGACCGCTTCGGTCACACCAGGAGCCGATGGACGACGACGACGGCGGTGGCTAGCTGTACCGGCGCGGGCAACGATACCGCCCCGACGGTACCACTCGACGATGGCAGTGTGCACGAAGGCGACTCGCAAAGGCGACGGCGGCGGAGACTGCAAAACACAACGGGCGAGCGGATACAGCTGCAGAGCTAGGAACACGGAAGTCAGCATCGCCGGACTCGCGGAAACGGATAACGTTTCAGGGTCCGGCGATGTGCGACTCCAGGACGGCCACCGGACGGGTGACTCGGTCGAGAGCCAGGGCGAAAATCGCGTGCGGAGGATCAGGACCTTTGCGGCGTGCTTTGCTGCGAGGTCCGACGATCCTCTCGCTGCGTTTTCGCCCAGTGGCAATCGGTCGGGTCACGTCTCCGGTCGCCGGCCGATTCCGTAGCGCCGACGCAGCTGGCTCTGCTCGCTCAGTGTTTTAGGTTTCCGTCGCCGTCGCCACGCATCGGTCGTCTTCAGTACCTGCGCACCGTCGATGCGCACAACATCGCGCACTAGCCGCTCGCCGTCAAATCGTCTCATCGCTCCCGTGGCCGTCGCGGTCGGGACTTCGCCAGCCGTCATTGATGCTCGTTGATGGTCGTCACCCGCGAGCAAACGCACTGGCGACTGCACTCGTCCGCCTGCGGGATGTGCCGCGAAAACGTATAGAGGTGACCAGTAGCCAGAATATTGCTTAATGCACCTCGCCATCACGTACCACTCCCCCCGCTTATTGTGTCTTGTCTGGTGTCCTCCCCCCCCATTAGGCCACTTTGTGCCAATTATACTTAAAAAAATCATATAAAATTACAAAAAAAATAAGAAGATATCAAAAATAAAAAATAAAAAAAAAATAAGAAGATATATCAAGTAAAAAAACAAAAAAAAATATTCCACTTTGGACCGATTAAATATTGAAAATCATGAAAAAATACAAAAAAAAATATAAGATATATCAAGTAAAAAAACCAAAAAAAATAATAAGATATAAAAAAAAATAAAAAAAAATACTTTTGATTGATGTACTTAAACTATAATAAATATTATTGTAAAACTACATTTATTTTGTTGAGTACACAATAAAATTATCGTCTATACAAAAATAAAACAATGTTTCTTTTTTTACTTATTAGAGTGTATTTGTATATTTATATTTATTTCAACAGAATAATGGGTTCCACTGAACATGCCCCCGCGAGGGCCCATGCAAAGTAATAACTACCTACTAGCTATGTTTTGTCACGCATCAAATATATCAATAAAGTATTGTAATAATATTTTTTGCTGGGTATTTTTGGTCAGGTAAATATTTTAATATAATAAAAAAAAAAAAAAAAATTAAAAGTGTGTGGTGCATCATACAAAACATTTAAAGCCGAGCTGAGTCTCACATTCACTTCTTTGTTCAATCCTATTTATAAGATAGTGACCGGGAGTATATGTCAAGTGTAAGAGCACCACACACTTTTACATTTTTCATTATTTTTTTTTATATTTTTTTCAAATATGTTTTTTTAGAAAAGTGTGTTTTTAAAAAAAAAATTTTTAATTTCTACTTTTTAGTTAAAAGTATAAATTTTTTTTTTAACAACATTATTCTGTTATATGCTGTACGCCTAATTTACTGAAGTACGGCGAGTAATGGTTAGGTTAATACCCGCCTTGACCCAGAGAAACCCTTCGTATACCTGTACTTCCTCGGAGATGACTTTGCACACGCGTCATCGCCGACCTGGAGGTCAGGGTCCCAAAATGACAACGGATTATTGTATTATCATCCAAGACCAAGGTCTATACCAATTTTCAGAATTATTCATCGTCAAAAAGTGTCTCAAATCGAGCGCGCAAGATTTGATTACAGACAAACAGACGTGAAAGCGAACTTAAGAAAAGTGTTTAAAAAACATTAGTGATAAAAAAAGTTTTTATAATAATGAGTGTCTTCCGTGAAACCAGTATACATAAACATTATTATAAATCTGTTAGAAGTTTAAAATTTAAGAAACCTGTATCTCAACGCCCCAATGGTACAATAGTATATTGTGTGGCAAGGGTGGGTAGTGAGGTATTTCAGTCGCCCAAGACTGAAATTGCATTCCCGCACGAGCCAAACATACTATTATTGTTCGTCACGCCTCTGCATTCATCGATCATGGCAAAGGTAATGCAGGGATCTATGCAAAAACTAGACTATAATTAGGTAGGTATACGATAACAATATTTCATAAAAGAAACAATTTGGTTTTATTTATGTTAAGCGTCACGCATGGAGGTTTTAATATGATTATATGATGTAACCAAAAGTTTATGTTTTGTAAGGACCGACGTCCGACGACCGTGCTATAGGTTTCAGTGTCTGCTTGTGCAGGGTATACGCGTGTGAAATGTGTGCTCACCACTTTTGGGGATTTCCATTTTACCGCCAGCTGGACGGAAAAAGGACGCTTTCCAACGCTATCGAAAACCAAACTTTCGGCGCAGGCGTGACAAAAATAATATTATAATCTAAAACATTAAGTATGCATTTTTGATGCGTCAGTGCCACAAAAAGTCATGAGCAAAAAATCAGTTACTAGTACTAGCTAGGTATTGTACTTATTGTGTATATATGTGTCTATTTTGTGTCGATGTGAGTGGTATGACACAATATTTTCTAGTCAAAGTACCAAGTTAGTACTAAGCATATAGTATAGTGTTTAGGAAATATTATGTGTGGTAGAGCTTCAGTATATGGAAGTTTTATGCATATGGCATGTCTGAATGTCTGCATTGCTTGCATCAAGCAAATGAGAGTTTTTTAGTCTACAGATAGACTTCGTTTGAAATACATTTTTGTACGAGACCGAGTTTAATTTAATTATAACTTACCTAGATGATGGTAACGGATTTTTTTTTAAATTGTAAAAAGTAGAGTAGTTAGTTAATCAAGGGTCTACTTACCTCTAGTATTCGTGGTTGTATTGTTGGTATCAGCCGGGCAAGTCCTGGCGCCCTGGCCTATATTGTAATAAAATAATTTCACAAATTTAATTTAATAGAGTTTACAACACTTAACATGTCGAACATTTAACATAATATTATGATCATTGGAAAACGCACTTCCCAATCCCAACTGGCAAGTAGATAAAAATAACTATGAAGTAACCGGAGCAATAAAAATCGCCGCGCCGTATTTCATCCGATAACTCTTTGTGCACGTAGTTTTTTCGAACGATTAGATATTTTTGAGGTTATAATTTTACCCGCCAAAAATGTGTTATCTTCGAACACGATAATAACTTACTATCGAAGTCTCCTATATAGGGACTCGAATAATGTTCCAACTTGAAACTCGAACGTTTTAAGTTTGAATCTTGAGATCTTTGACATGTGATTATTATATTATATTTTCTCGGGTTATTAGTCGTCGCTCGACGATTCGGGTTTGCGTCGTTATAACATTTTCATTTTGTTTCACTTATTATTTCCGAGGTGAACGAAAACAATGGAAAACGACTCACCAAACTTGTTCGACAGCGAACCAATGTCGGTAAAGCTGAATTTTCCTGAAAACACCGCCGACGACAACGACATCTTGGCCGAGATGTTAGTAGAAATACGCGAAGAAGACCGCCGACCACCAGTCGTTGAAAACATCGCCGAGGCGACGGACAGTGTCGTCGACGAACCACTTGTTGACACGGTCGAGTATCACACCGACGATTCGGATGACGAAGAAGGCCATACAGCTGCTGAAGAACCACTTGTTGACACTGTCGAGTATCACACCGACGATTCGGATGGCGAAGACGGACCACCGCCGGACGCCGACCCCGACCAGTCGACAGGGTTGCAGAAAGAGGATTCCCCTGGCGCCAAGACGAAAGATGTCCACAAGGGATTGCCGCCTGGCCGCGTGAAGCTGATCATGAAAATGGACCCTGACGTCAATATAGTGGCGGGCGAAGCAGTGTTCCTGGTCACTAAGGCAACGGTAAGCTATTGAACAAAATATGCTGAAAAACTTATTAATTCATGTGCTTGTTCTGCAGGAGCAATTTGTCGCAATTTTAGCACAACACAGTCACAAAGCGATGGTGGCCACAAACAAGAAAACTTTGCAAAAGAAGCACATAGACGCCGTGATCGAAGACAATGTGCCGTTTGAATTCTTAGAAGGCACATTAGATTGGTAAAACCGTTTTCATTATGCTCACATTTATTTTTACTCTTTATATTTTGTAATATAATAATGTATATAAATTTAATATATCAATATTATACTAATACTGATTTGTTTAGAATAATAAAATGTCTCTAGCACTGACCAAATATGCACAGTGACATGAGCATTTTTATTGGTAAGACAAATTAAGTTTCATGCTACAGATTTTGTAAGTAAATCTGGAAATATGTATTATTATTATTTATTTTTGAAATGATTCAGTCTTCGACGATTTTTTTAGACACAATATTTATTTTATATAAGTACAACAAAAAAATAAATAAATAAATAAAAACACAACACTGCACATAGGTAAACAGAAATAATTTTGTTTTAATCACAATTTTAAGCCATAACAATATGCGACAATAAAAATAAACATAGGTACATAATCAATTATATCCTAATTAAAATAAATATATTTTATAATACAAGCATAGAAATACACGGAAATGAGATTTGAGATTAGAAACCAAAAAATACTTGAGCCAATTATATTTAAGGAAGACACAAAAAATGTAAATACCAATTATAACATTGAGGACGCATTTATCAGGGCACTATGACATTAAATTTTGCAATTTCGCATGACATATTTTATATTTACATTATTAAATTACAACTTTATATTTTATTCAGAAATATCAAGTATTCTAATTTAACGTTATATAATATCTATTCTGAGGGTAAATGAAAAGCATATATTTTTATATGCAATTATAATTATTTTAAGATGTTTAAACAGATATAAGATAGTAAATTTCCAACAAAAAAAACTTTTAAAACTCTGACCTCTATAATTAACCAACAGTTTTTACAATTTATATTATTTTGTATTCAAAATGGTCCTAACCATTACATTAAAATATATTACACATTTATTTCTTTAGTTATAGTAGTTGTGCAGTATTAGAATTTAGATTTAAATTTAGTTTTGTGGGGAATTACTAATGCTTAATTGAAATCTAACAGTCTATAATAACAAACATATTATCACATTTATAAAAAGCGAATAATTAATAATCATAAGGCTTCACATCAATAATTCAAAACTTTTTTTAAAAAATAACCTACCACTAAAATAATCCAATATTTATCGAGTTTTGAGTCTTATAAATTATAAAAATGTAATTATTTTTAAATAATTCAACTTAATATATCATGCTTTTGAAAATCATATGACTTATATGTTAGATATATTAATTGAATTCTATAATTATAATAATAATAATAATCATAATATCAAACAAGTTTGTTACAGCCATAATTTATTACTGTGATAAGCACAAATTTAATTTTGTAACCTTCGCAATACATTCCTAGTGGTTATTACTAACAATGAAACATTTATATATAAACTTATCCTAGCGTATACTACAACAATTCATTGTGGAATATCACACAGCTGGCTAAATGAATGTATATAATATAATTTAAGACTTAAGGACAGTTTTATAAAGTTGAGTTCAAAAAATGAATTGATTGCGAAACCGTATAATTCTTTTTCAATCAAAATAGTTTAAATGTAAAATTAATACAAAATATCTAATTTATTAACGCCAAAATTAACCACAGCCGTTATTTTCTTTTAATACTTTAAAAGAACAAAAAGTATTTTAGAATTTGGCACACAAATATTTGAATAATGATTTACACACTCATTGGATAATGATTGTTTACACACTCATTGGATAATGATTGTTACTACTATTTACTAATAATTTTCATAATATATTAAATATTTAGTAATAATATGTCTAACATTTATCAAAATTATTTTTAATTTTAGTTGTCAATAGTATTCCAAGTTTTAAAATACTTTTTATTGCTTCAGTAATTATAACAATTTGTAACACCATCACTTTGATCAACAAAGATCAATGGAATACAAACTGTTCTGTTAAATAATATATAATAATACATTCATCAATATCGACAAAATGTTTTTAAAAATAAAATTGAATACAATATTTGTAATTATTGCTTTAAGTTGAAAGGTATAGTTTAATGTTTATAATAATCGTATATTATTTAAATTTAAATTAGGTAATAGTATATTTTATGTAATCGTGGAGATTGAATATATTAGATAATTGTATAATCATAATAATAAAAAAAATTAAATATTCTGTGTATAATTAACTTTAAAACATTAAAAGTTGTAGTGATAATGTGCACTTAAATATTAGTCTTTGGTAAGGGTGCCAACACTTGAAGTTCTGATTTGTTATTTGTCACCAAATGAACACTACCATGGTTTATTCATTCATATGAATTTAAATAGTGAGTTATTCGCTGTGATTCACTTTAACATAAAATAATAAGTATGGAGTTAGTGCTGAGTTCTTGGATGATTTGGATTCTAAAATTTGTGATAATTGTGCAACCGACATTGTTCTTACTGTTTCATCATCACACTCTAACCATACACTATCTCCACCTTCTGAATTATCTAATATTCTTACTCCACAACATTCTAGACTACGACACCACCGTCCTATCGAAGAAACTTTTCCTGAATCAATTGAATCACTTGACTGACTATTAGGAGCACCAGATGATGACGCTTTTGAAGATATTTTTAGAAATCGAAAAAGACCATTTGATATTGATGACTTTTTATAATTTGCTGGCAGAGTACCATTGGGTGTGACGGAAAGGCTTCCAGTCTTGCGTCGATCACGAGGACAATTGATATACTCGTCAAGGTTGTCCTGAGCCTTAACATATGCGACATAATGCCCAGACGCAATTGTAGCACCCAAATGCATTATTATAGCATACAGCTGGTAACTATGCGCTCGAGTTTTTTGTTGTGAATTGAGAGATAAACACTCTTCACAAAAACACTCCAATGTCAAAGGTGTTGGCATGTGTTCATTTACTTTTGACACAACAGCTCTAAAAATTAATTAATTTATTGATATTGTAAATATACACTAATAGTACACGATTAATGTTAATGTGAATTTATACCTATAGTTGGTGCAAAATCGTTTTAAATGTAATGTCAGCAGTCGAGGTAAACTTTCATATCCAACACTTCGTTTAGCTTCATTATATCGACAACACTGTTCGCACCAATATTTGTCAGTGTCTTGTAAATATTCTTCAGTTACTATTGCAGAATGGTACAATTTGTTTACGCTGTCATAATCTACAATCAATATACATAATATGCTAAAAATGAATGAAAATATTTAAATAAATATAGAAATAAATAACAAACCATAAGGGTTGAATTCATTTTCAGGTGATATGTCTCCATTAGTTAAACCATTTATAGGAACACAGATGTCACAAAAACTCTCTTTCCGTTCTGTAACAAATTCACATTCTAAACAAGTGGTGCGAAGTAGGGATACACCTTGAAAATCATCAAACATTGATGTACTGCTACTACTGCTGCCATTAGGAATGCTTTCATTTTCATCAGATTGAACAGCATTTGTGGTTCCATTTACTACATACATTTGTTTGTCATCTAAAAAAAAATTTAGTGGTAAATTCTTTAAAACTTTTTATAATGATTTTTGAATAACAAATTGTGTACCAGCAAAATTGTCATTTTCGGGTAAAACCACTTTATCACTAGCAATATTAACACTGGGCGGGAGAATGCCATTGACTGGTCGTGTTTTACTGCTGGATGCAATTTTTAAAGACTTTCGCACTTGTCCAGAAAATTTTTTCAATTTATTAGGCGCAACAGGTTGAATAACTGGAGCAGGTGCTACAAAACAATTCACTTGGGCAGAATGCTGCATGACTAATTTACATCCCTCTCTGATATTATCTAACAAGCAGACAAGTAGTTCATGGGCGTCGTGTTGTTGGTTTCCCTCAAAAATTGGATTGACATCTCTATTTACAAAACATTAAAATAGAATTAAAAATAAAATGTATAAAAACATTTGTAATATATTATTTACCTTAAGGATTGCAAAAATACTTCAGGTTGATACGGATCTGAACTGTCTTTGAGCTCACAATTGTGTAACGCTTCGAATACTTGATGAAGACGTTCAGTAACTTGTATGATTTTTAGATCATTCATACTAACGTTTAATGATGATTGAAAGTTCCACATTTTGCTGCTGACTGAGCTTGTACTTCTACCCAGAGAAGAACATTTTCCCTATGAAAAAAAAATTAAATTGCATGAGAAAATATAGTAATAAAAATATTTGCTTAGGTATAGTACTTTTAGTCCGTTTGTTGACCGCCCCGTGATCTCTTGTAACTCGGTAATAAGGTGATGAAGATTGTGCAAAAATGAAGGTGCAAATCTCAATGTGTATAAGACACTATTCAAAAAACAGGTGTTACCAAGATTGCATAAAGTTGCCACACCAGGGGACCCATTGCTTTCGTTGTCACAAGAACAGTTTATTTGCTGCTGCTGTTGCTGCTGCTGCAGTTGTTGCTGTTGCTTGATATGCCGGATAACTTTAAAGAAAATTAAAATGTTATAAATTGTCTGTACTAGACCATTTCATAACACACATAAGTATGATATCATTAATGTAAACAAACTAATTAATTACTCAACACAAACAACAAATTATTATTATTTAAAATCCTTACAAAGGTAAAAAATTTTTATTTTTTAAATTTTAAATTAAACCCTAGATTAAAAGATTCAAATTCAACCAAATTAAAATCAGGATTTCATTATTGAATAACTTACATAGAAAATATCAGCTAAAAATACTATAATAATTTAGATACCACTAAAAACAGTATAAATAATAAATTATATATAAATCAAATAAGTTATACTTATAAAAGGCTTGTAAGAATTGTTTTAAATTAAAGATTTAAAACATATCACCTGCTTTAAGCTAATTTTCATGTCGTCCATCCTTCCCTCTAATAACACATTATATATTTTATGTATATATTATATATTGGAGATGATTCAATTCCAATTAATATTAAAGTAATAATTATTACATGTCTTATAAAATTAAAACTAATACACAAAATGGATAAAATGAAATATAAGTAAAAAAAATGTATGTGTTCATGATTTTTTATACACCGTGTCTGCCGAAACAAGGTACAGTGTAAAATTTAATTACCCATATTACTCAGTACACTATATATATTTTTGAATTCTATTTGCGGGACTTAACTAGATTATTGGATCATAAATCTCCCACAGTTAGTATTTTAAAATATGAATAGTGTACTGAATAATGTAGGCAACAGAGTTAAGGAGTGTACCTAGTTTTTGCAGACACATATGAAAACCTAATTATTTATTTTATTAATTTAAAAATTACATTTTTCCTTTTTAAGTGATAAAACAGTTATGTATTGACACTAAAATAATAACTTTTCATAATATGAATATGTATCATCATTATACTTGAATACATACCAAGAATACTAAACCCAAGAACCAACTACATTAAAATGTATTATATTAACTGCTATTTGTATTAAGCCACATTACATAAAATGCATGGACAATATCAATTACCTATATAAACAAATTTAAGTTAATTATAAGATTGATGTACTGTATATAAGTAGATATTAAACATTTTTTTAATATTAATATGTATAGGATTTTTCTATTAAATATTTTTCTTAACAGAATGTGTGTAAAGATAAAAAAAAAAATACTAAATGGGGTTAACAATATATTTATTTATTCATTTAAAATTAAAATATTTACTAGCCAATCTATAAAATTATAAGATAAATATTGTTCATAGATAGGTAACACGATTATAAATTATTAATAATAATAAATAATTTTGGAATGTAAATAATAAAGTGCATTAAATTAAATTATAATAATGAAGATTATAAGGAGTGCTTAAAATCTATATGCAATCGTTTTACAACTATATAGCTTATTATCACTAAAATGAAAGAACGCTGAAAATAATAAGTTGAGATATATAAATTGTATAATAACTATTGATCTTTTTTTTCAGTGTTAACCTCTTTTTCATCTTCGTGATCATCATTATTATCATCAACTGTATCGACAGGTTCATTAAAAGCTTGTTTTACATAACTATAAATAATTAATTGTACAATAATAACAGCAAAAATAACGGATATAGCTATAACTCTATATCCTTGGATATTTAAAACTTGCCCAAGAAAATATTTCATAGAAAAAAATCCAATAAAAGGAACAGTAAACATTAGAAAACTGTAACCTAATAGATACCACATAACATGGCTTTCGAAGTCTTGTTCCATATTGAAAAATTATAGATTCACTAATGAAAAGTATAATAACACAGACTTAATGAACAGCAATTATTAACAACTAAGACAAATTATTTAATCGTGAACAATTTAAATATAGAAAATAGCAATATATTGCAATTTAAAACTTTAACAGAACTTGATTGGAAAAATTGTAAACTTCAGTTACCAGGCTGGTCAAGAGGTGATGCCATCGGGTTAAGTTGGGAGAGTGCATAGGATTTAGATTGTAGTTGCCTGGATGCTGATAAACACAACTTCTTGCGTGGCGGCTGTTCAGCTGTCTCTGCTGACGATAAAACTGTCATTTTTCTTAACCCTAAAATAAATAATAATTACAATATATTAGCCAATAATGATTGTACAGCTCTAAGGTAAACATTAGTCTATTAACTTTAATAATTAATGGACCCTGAACTCAGATTTTATCAAACTACAAAACTTCTCAACAGGTAGGTATGTATTAACTAAACCAATGATTTAAAAACTGATTGTGATTTCTTCTAAAGCAAGATCCATATAGCTATTGCCTTATTAAAGTCCAGGTACAGTTAATTGTATGATCTTAATATCATTATGATCCAATATCATAAACGCATACAGTGAGTACAGGAAGCGTAATCAGCTTGTGCAAATCAAACACGGTGTCAACAGCAAGCACAGTCGGTTAGAAGGAAAACTACCATTGGTCCAGCAGCGACACAGAATTCGGTCGATGAGACAAACGGTCTGAGTTTAGTCTTTTCAAAGTGGTAGCCAGAAGGGCGGGTTGAGTGATAGTATTTTAACGAGCACCAATGGAGAGGAGTACACAATTACAACGACACCGACAATATCGTCGTGGTCGGTTACACTCACCAATCGGACATAGGAGATTTCATGGAAATGACGTGTGTGCATAGAAAGAGTGTTCACGGCGATCGTTTTCGAATGTCACCAAACCAAAAACCGTAGGCGGGCGTTTAGTGTTCAGGCGCGTTTGGCGGACGGAGATCGGCACTTGTGTTCTTTTTCCCAGCAATCGTTTTTCTACTGAGTATGGGCTCAACTGTGTACCAACGACAGACGACGAGGGTACAAGAAACGACTATGATTATGAATAAATGAATTATAATGATTATCACGGGCGAACCGACGACATGGGCTGGTCCACCATTTTGTCGTGTTAACACAACTTTGTACTTACACAGTTGTAGTTACACAACACCGACCACAACGGTGCGTGCGGGCGCTCGGCCGGCGGCGATACCACCTCTGGAGGAAAAACCTTCCGGAGGTATATTTTCCCGTAGACGTTGTCCGCCCACCGGATTTTCCCGATTCCTCGGACCACGGACAGGATATTTTACAAGCTTATTCAATTTCAAGACCGATGGTCATAAAGATATTAGGATATAGATCATTATTCTGAATTGGGTAGTCGGGCAGAAGCTTTTAAACGGCAGTTTTTGAATTTTCTCGAAAATTGTCCGAGCGCACACGGATATTTTTTAAACTTCACCGTCGGTCGGGCGGCGCTTATCACTTTGTGTTTCATTCTTCCATGACACCATGCGCACACACGGTCTTGGGCCCCCACCACCAGCCGAGACACGAGTCGTTTTCAGGTTATAGTGCGTTTGTTTACCGTGAGATAATTCCTCTTTCTAGTTACTGCTGTTCGCCGTTTCGTGGAGCGAATTTGTTTTTCATCAACGTCTCAACGCACTTCTAAGGTATGTTTTTTCGTTTCCAAATCTCAATTGGTTTTCAAATTACCGCCCCGTATCCCCGGTTGTAGCTGTTGTTTTGAGATTAACTGCGAAACGCTCGCCAAATCGGGGGATCGAATCGGATGAAATTTCTAAACCGCGTATTGTTTTGGTTGTTATAGATGCCGGAGGCGTCCGCTAAAAAAGCCAGTAAATCGGCCTCAAAGGTCAAAACTGAAAAAGTCGTCGAATCTGCCGACAAGGTGAAGAAAGTAGTCAAACCGAAAAGGCGCCAGAAGAAGCCCTACGGACGTTTGTACTCCCGAGCAGTGTTCACAGGTTTCCGTCGAGGACTCCGCAATCAACACGAAAACACCGCTCTACTTAAAGTTGACGGATGTGATTCAAAGGCTGACTCTTGGTTTTACGTTGGAAAACGTGTAGCCTATGTCTACAGGGTATGTATTACTTGATTGAACGTAATATTTGAAGTCTTCATAATAATATTATATCATAACAAGTGGTAAATTACTGTATACCTAGTTTAGAATACCACTCTTCAAAAGAAAAATCATTTCAGATTTTCTTAATTCTGTGTACTAAAATGTGCAGACAAGTATCTTGTATTTTGTATATAATGGTGTCAAATGATTTGAATTAACTTTAGCTCATTGACAACCGTCTTATCTCAAATTATAGTAGCTAAATGTTGGATTAAGATTGTTTTTTAAAGAAGATTTGTAATTTTGTATGATGATAAATAATTTTTTATAATGAAGATACTTCATACTACATATTAAAAATAACTTATTTTATATAATTAAAGTATGATTGGATTTGTGTTTGTAGGCTAAGCGATTAGTGTCTGTTCCTGGACGCCCAAAGAAGAAGTCTAAGGTCCGTGCTATCTGGGGTAAAGTAACCCGTCCCCACGGTGCCACTGGATCTGTACGAGCAAAGTTTAAGACCAACCTTCCCGCTAAAGCGATGGGACACCGAGTCAGGATTGTAAGCATTTTCTTTTTATCCACTGATCATAATTCAAATTTTTACCCTTCAAATATTCTAATTAAATACAAAAACTGCTATATGAGCTCTATAGATAAATCTAAATCAAACTTTTTGACCCATCCTTCATAATATATTGAATTCCATATTCTAACATTTATTTTTGGTTTTGTTTCAGATGATGTATCCTTCCCGTATATAAGCTATTGTAATACAATTGACAATTTTCAGTTAAAAAAAAATAAAAAAATGAAAAAAATCGTATAATTCTGTATTTTTGTTTATTTCTCTGTTGGTTAATTATTTTAAACAACATAAAGTATCTGTTACATTTAAGGTATCATTGTGTAAATCGGACAATTTTTCCAACTTATAATTTTACTTGCCATTGGATTATAACCATGTTTGACCAATATGGCTGATAATCTTAAGGTTTCTGGTGCTGAAATTCCATTTTGACGTGTTACAACTACAGTCCACATGTGCAATGAGTCAGATCCTCTTTTACCACAAAACGCCAATATTAAATGTGTGTCAGGGTCTGCATCAATAATAGTTGCTGTTATGTCTCCTGTGAAAAATCATATATTATGATATGGAGACACTTTAAATAATAACATAGGTAATATTGTAAAAAGTTTTAATATTTAATATGGAGCACCTCCTAGTGGACTTTGTATTGACCAAATTCCTACTTCGGTTTCTATTGTTGGCAGTTCAATCACAGCACTGTGGTCATCAATTAATAATGGGTTATCGATATTCCATACTTGTCTCAATGTGGTTTTATTATATCGCAAAAGTTCTCCATGAATGCAAACACCATCTTCAACAAACTCTTCATGTTCCGATTCTATTACCATAATAGCCAAAAACCATTTTCCCAATAACTGCAACAAGTTATTTCATAATTACATTACTTAATTTTAGATTTCCATATTCAAATTATTACTACCTGATCGATGTTGACTTTATTGAAAGGTTTGATTTTTGGACATGGTTTTAGTTCTGGTTCATCTTTAATAGGTCCACCGTATGCCGTACATGCATAGATAATCAACTGTAATATCAACAAATGTAGAGACTCCATTTTGACTTGAGAGCGTAGAAACGAATGCTTAAACCGCAATACAGTATCTGGTGAGTTAGCCGTTCATTGTGTAGGTGGTTTGAACTTAACAAGATTAAATTTAGCCTTTAAGTAGGTTAAATTATATCATTTTATGTTTAAAAAATTATCAAAAATTTGCACTTCCTGTCATACACATCTACCGACTGATAAAGCATAACTACAAGAACCACTACTATTATTATTTATTTTAATATTAACTTTAAATTTTAGTTCCTCAGTAGCCCCCTCCACCCTTCTGGCAACAAAACTATTGAGTATTACCATTTATTAAATAAACTTAATGAATGGTATTATTAAGTATTTTTTCCAAGGTTAGAAGTTAAAAATTCAATAATATTGAGTCATAAAAGTAAAATATGTTCATGCATAAAAAGCTGATCTCATGTTGAAGGACAAATTTAATAGATATATGTAGGTATACATGTCATTAAACCTAATTTTAACTACCCTAATAGTTATTACCAGGTTAGGTAAACCCAACCTAACCAGGGATTTGGGACCCAAATTACATTATATTAATCATAATTAATAATTATTTATGTACCATAAATATTTTATCAAGTAAATTTCTAAGAAGTATGTACTTCATAAATTAAATGGGTACGTAGTAAAAAATTTTAGTTTTCAGGTTTTTCTGGACCACGTTACCCCCAAATAATAACATTTATGAGCACCTAAATATTAATTAATTGAATTTTGTACTCCTGTCTTTGAACACCAATCACATTTGGCACCCAAAACCTAAATAAATAATTTTGGTTCCAAGTCCTGATCTTACTAAAAATATTAGCGAGGATGTTATTCAATTTAACGAATGTCTGTTTTTAATACTCATCATTATGAATACAATAAATGTTGATACATGTCTACAGAAAACCTAAATATATAGAATTTTTTATCAAAAATAAAACAGCCAAGCCATTCAATAACTACAAAATTTGTATGTATCTTAGTTTTATTTTTTTTCATTATTTTATAAACTTTAAAAATATTATTAAGGAATAAAAAATTACTATTTTTAATATATTTTACACCAATGACCATTGCATTATAGTTCTTGTGAAGAGTAGAATCTCGACCACAGGGCCACACTTATTGTTCAGTTTTACATTTTCATTTTTCAAGATGCTGAACTATAATTAAGAATGATTTGTTGATTCAAAAATATATCTTAAATATCGTTAAAACGATAGTCTTTTCTAAATCCTGTACTTGTCAAAATTTAACAAAAGTGGGCATTAACTTGTTAAAAAGTTAATTTTTTTAACTTTTTAACTGAACTAGTTAATTATTTTTGTTTTTAACTTATTAAGTTAACATTGTTATTGTTGTAACTTAACTTTTTATAGTTAATTATCATTGTCATGCAGTTAAGTTAATTTAATCTTTGAGTCATGCGTAATCAACTAGGCAATACTGATTTCGTCGACTTTTTACGATTTTGGTAAATATTTGTGTATAACAAAATAATATGCTGGTTTATGACTTAAAAATATTATACCTTCAAAAAAATTAACTTTTTTTTAACTGAGATAAGTTAATTTTATTTTCTATCTTAACTTTAAACTTATCTAGTTAATTTTTTGTTCTTTGTTAACTTTTAACTTAACTGAAGACAGTTCAATTTAATTAACTTAACTTTCCACAGTTAATTATTTTCATTAACTTGCCCACCATTGAAATTGAATACTGTAGTATTTTTATTTTTATTATATATAAACAATCTATACAAGTAATGTACAATAAGCTTATGTGTTAAGAGAATACAAGATGTGAGAAATTGAATAAGAATCCGTGCACTGGCAACACTTAATACACTATCTAATTTTACAGCCAAAAATGATATTTCAACAAATAAATTAGTGTTGTTGTACAGTAACGGTTCAATAAATTACTTACACCATTTGGTGATCTGCCTAAGAAAATATAATTATAAACAACTACTTTGTTAGAGATAAATTTAATTTTCAGTGTAGTGTTATTTTTTAACATTCTATACTAACCAAAGCATCAGGTATTTTAATAATAATATTTGAGAGTATAACCTATTGATAATACATATAATCAATGGTATAAGTAACGCAGAATTAAGAATTAATAAGCAAATTATACTATAACATTTATTTGGTATACAGTCTTTCAACAAAATTATTTTAACAAAATTGTTGATGACAAGTAATACTTTTCTGGTGCATGCCCCCTGGATGAAAGGTAATGCACAAACAGCAAAAATATACAATATATTAGTACTTTATACAAAATAAATGCATCGGCATTTTATCTCACTTTTTTATTATTGATGAAGTAACAAAGGATTTTAAGGAAAAATCTACTTTCCCATCTAGGTATTTGGTATTTACAATTTTTGATTGCCTGTAATTCTCCACACCTTAGTTTTTTTTTTTTGTATATTTGATTTCATTGTAGAATACAACCATACATATTATCATTGAGTATATATTTACAATAATATATACTCAACGATATTATGTAAAGCACTTCAATTTACCTACTCTAATAATAACTATTGTTTTGTCTTAATAAACAATATAATATTTTTAATAAACACTTTTCTGGATATATATGAATACATAATAAATAATTAGAATGGAATGTTGAAATAAAAGTGACCAAACTAACAAAAAAAACAAATGATATAATAATTTGATAAATGGATTTCTCATACATCCTCTGGATTGAACATTCCCTAAAACCAAAACAATTCAATAATTATACATTCAATATAAAATGGGAAAATATCAGACATAGTACTCACCTTGGCACGACGCAAAATTGAATCTTTACTAGCGTCATACGGGTGATCCTTGGAAGGAATTTCGAGGACTGCTGGGATCGGTTGTGTATGTCCTTCAATCACATGACGAATCATTTCAGCAACCTGTTGATGGTTTAAACAAAATATTTTTCATATCAGATGTGAAAACATCACTACCGTGGACCTGTAAACTTAGTATGTAGGTCTATGAACACTATTATTGCTTACGTTTTGATTGATGAGTATTATGTCGATATCATCTCGTTTGACAAACCCTTTGAAACATTCTTCAATATCAATTATTGCTGTATCTGAATAATAACAAAAATATAATTAAACCAGTTTCATTGAGTTTCAAAACAAATATTACTTTTGTCAACAACCATGAAATTCGAGTGTCTGTGTTTGTTTATTTCACCGACACCGCCCAACAGGAAACCGACACACGTGTCCTAAAAGGAAAACAACCTTACGTAAATGTATGCCCTCAAGACATTTTTTTAGTGTTCAAAATCGAAAAGATATACATAATCATAGACCGAAAAGGGCGGGTCTCCCGTACGTTTATTGTTTATAATTACACAGCAACTACTTTCGTAGCCAAACTTACTTCGTCTCCGATCACGGCCAAAAGTTTACCCTTAACTGCTGAGTGCATTGCCATTTTTAAGTAGACGGTTATTTATTTTGGTACAACAAAATTGTAAACTTGTAAACACAGAATTTTTTCAATTATTTTGAGAGTAACTTCACAGTTCATACAGTCCACACTCGAGACTCGAGAGTGAAAAAGAGAACGCCCTTATCATCTATTAATTTTTGACTGATAATAATAAAGCAGAAAAACATATGGTTTCATCTTGAATAATTGATAACAACCCGAGCCCGCCCAATGCCAAATCCAAATTAAAAGCAAAGCATGATTTGAATATTATTTATATTTTACTGCCCACCGCGACCCCGAACTTCACGGATTAATAAATCTAAACCGGTAATTTCGTTATTACTAAGGCCCGGATCTTTATGCAAAAATGATTGTTAAATATGCAAATATTTATGCACTCAATAGTTCAAAACTATGCAAAAAAAAATCCTTTGTTGTAATGTTGTGTAATAATACAAGTTGCAACTAAACATCTTAAAACAATTAAAAGTACAATACCTCTGAGTACAAATGTGTATTTAAATGCAAAACTAATGGAAGATGTAATATTAATTTTGCAACGAGTATACCAATATGCAGTTACAAAATGTGACTTTATATTTTCAAATTGGAAATTTCTGCGTTTGTCACTTAGCATAGGGCCAGTTGTACCATTTATGATTAAAGTTAATCAGAGTTTAATCGGCCGAATTAGCCCGTTTAAATATCTGTTTTTCTAATTCTCGCATGCGACATACAATTGTTTTTAAGTTTTATTAATTAAATATTGTGTGCAACAGAAGAAATTATGATAGGAAAGTATTACTATTTGAATTACCTATACCTATCAAAAATAAATTAAACATAAAAATGAAATTCATTGTTCAATATTATCTATGTAGTATAAGGATTACAAATTATTATAGTTAATAAACAAAACAATAAATATGCATACGTTTATAAAACTAACCCTCTACATCATTATCAAACCCAACAATTGCATAAATGTTAACTAAAAAGTATTTAATTCAACTTATTGCTTTGTTATCTACTCAAAAAGTGAAGAAATAAAATTCTGTCTCCACAAAATATTTTTCGGAAAGTTTTGTAAAAGTTTTGTTATCATCGAAAATGTGTTATCTCTTATCAATAAGCCATGTGATACAATCATAATTTAGTAAAAAAAATCCAAATTTTCAAATCCTAATTTAAGAGCTTTGAAAGTGTAACTTGAGCTTCTAAAATCAAGGTATTGTTATTTTTTAGTGAATTCCTAATGTGTTGTTAGTGTTAATCGCTTAGTAGAATTAGGAAATAATATTATTTACATTTTTCAGGGTTGTTTTTATTTTAGGTAAAAAAAAAGTGGGTCACTTGGAACTATTATAAATGTATACCCGGCAGTCGTACGTACCGAAATTAACGGTATTAAATTTCGGTAATTATACCGAGAAAAATGGTTTTTAACACTTTTTTTTTTTTTTAAAAATATTTGTAGCGTTCCAAGTGACCTTCATTTTTATATATATTATGCATTTATGCATAACTGAAGAGGAATACATTTTGTATATTATGTGTTCCCTATATTTGTTGTACTTAAAGCTGTAAAATAAAATAAAGTTCTGTCAAATAACATATCTTTCAGTTCTCAAATCAATAAATAACTGTAATAATCAAAATTTTTATAAAAAAACTTCTATATTATGAAAAATGTATAAAATAATCTAGTAATTTTATGAACAAAAATATTATATCAAATCAAGTAACCATATAAAATACAAATATAAAACAGTTTAAAAACTCATCTCTAAACTAAATATAGGTAGACAAAATAAAAATAAAAAAATTATTAATTGTTATGGTCACATTTTATATAAGTAGTGGTCAATAAGCAATAATAAATGTAAGACAATTAAAATAGAGGAATTCAATTAAATTAACACAAATCAAAAACTCAACCATATAGATTTTAAATATAATTACACAAAATCAAAAAACTCAATCATAATAGATTTAAATATAATTAACACAAAACAATAAAAATTATGTAAAAATCTAAGTCTTTTGGTTACGTAAAATAGTAATAAAAAAATTTGTTTTCGAATTATAAAATTATGCTGGTGATAAATATTATTCAAGTGTTTAAAGCACCAAATTATTAAGTTAATAACAATATATTGTGTATACAACATGCATCTATATAAAAATATTAAAATAGTAAACAATTTTATAAATTATAGATTAAAATAAAAACAATTATATTAAAATTAATCGGGCGGGCATCAGTCAAAAACAAAAATAATAAAACTAAAAATTGCATATGTAATATGAAGTTTCAATTGAAAAATAATGAAAACATTAGTTAAAGTTTCTAGGAATTCTATGGACTCTACATTTCAAAGTTTCGGCAAACATCAACGATTGGACAATTTGCTGTTTCATGAATGTTTGATTACCGATTATTAATAAGGTGCATTCCAAGTATTTATTGATAGACATTCCAAGTAGACTCTGGGCGACTAAAGAACGAATCTTGCCAAGTTTATCTAGCAATTGGTTTAGCAGTTTCTCCATGACAAGGACTATGTCTTGTTGCAGTTGGTCACCAACTACACAATTCTTGTTCGGTATGGGATAATGCAATATGTCTCGCATGTATGACATGTATTCACACAGTTCATTCGGAGTTACTTCCAAATCCAAAGCCTGTAATCAAAAGTAATTTATATTTATAAGTTTTTTTTACCCAAAAGGCATATTATAATGTGTAGGTATTCAAAATATTACCAATAATAAGTTGTTCAACTTTTGTGACCGATCCCTCAAGGCTTTTGTTGATAAGCATATCTTTTTTTGTGCACCTTTTGTAATGGAATTTTTGTTAACTTTAGCAATGAAATCTTCAATATTGTCCTCGTCAATGAATTCAATTTCGAGATAACTGAGGCTATTGAAGAACCATTGGTATTTATGTAGTTTCAAGTAGTGAAGCCACTCAGCAACTGCTCCATCCATTTCTTGATTGAGAATTGTCAGATCTATTAGTGACTGTGGGTCTCCCAAAGCAGCCGTGTTGGTCTTTGCCATCATTTCCAGATGGTTGTAGCCAAAACATTCCACTGAAAAAAAAATTGTTCATCATAGTTAAATATTGTTATGTGCAGCTTGGTCAATGATTAATTCTTACTTCTAAAGTGTGGTTGACCTGGAGCTGATATTAAATTTGTCGGTTGCAGAATGTTTGGCCAAACAGGGGTATTCAGCTGTTGAGCAGGCCGAATATTAAATTGTTGGAAATATGGGTCAATTTGTGGTGGTCTAAAATAATTTGGCCAAAAGTTTTCTGTCGAGGTTTCTACCGGCATGTGGCGTTTACTGTTGTTCAGTTGATTTACTTGGAGAATTAGATGTTTCAAATTCCTAAAAATGTATAAAATAGTATTATTAGTTGAAAAATGTAATGAAAAAATCAAAGTTTAAACTCACTCGTGAATGATGGTTAGGTTTGGTGATTTCTCAATCAAATGGCATATTTTCACTGCTATCTCAATGTTGGTACCATTTTCAATCGTTTGGTTGAGCATAAGTCTTACATTGTACATATACTCCTCTTTGGCCATTATGTTGTTATTTTTTACCAACATCAATGCTTCATGAAGTTTTACAAATGATTTTGATGATGGATTATTTAACCATTTAGTAATTTTAGTTGGATCATTAGAATGCAGTTCTCTTTTTTTCATCTCTCTGTACAACATTGTGTATAGATCAGGATAGTTGAACGACAGATGATCAAGAGATTCACTCAGACGTTCTTGTCGCTCTTTGAATGATTTACACTGCATTAATGCCTCTGCCAGTAGTTTCATTTCATTCACTAAAAATAAAAATTAAGAAAATCACAGAAATTATTTTTTTTAATGGAATTAAAATTATAGGTAGGCACTTAAATATATAAATTGTTCAAGACCTACGATAATAAAATTGTGTATTTTCATATTTAAAAAAATTACATACATTTCCCAAGAGGATTTCAGCACAATATTCGTTTTAAGTCTCAGACCCACATATAATTCATTCACAAAAAATTGTTTATTTAGGATTTTTGAGAAATCTTAGAGTAAAATAAGCCCACTACAAAAATTAAAGAAAATAATAATTTTGATGATTTGACAAATCTGTATTATTTTTTATTATTTGACTTTATATTAGACTATTAAAATAAAAAACTGTACGTTTAAATGAATACCTATTAAAAAAAAATGTTGACTACATTTACACAAGTCTTACCCTCAAAAATATTATTTTCTATAATTTTTACAATGGGTGGTTTTACCGTAAGATTACTCAAAAACATAAATAAAAAGGTGGGTAAGTGGATGTCGCTCTGCTGTACAGTAGGTTACAAGTGGGTCACTGTATAATGGATGCTTTTATATTTGAATTCAATGATACAATATCATTGTATAAGAAAAACGATTCTGAGCGAAGACGGTAGGTATGTCAGTCTAGGTTTAAGACAAATTATATACATATCTATGGTAATATGGTATTAAAAAAAAAATTGACCTATAATAAATTCCAAATTAATCATATCACATTATCACAATATCCATTAGGTACTTATAACACGTTATACATCAACATAAATAACAATCCCTGATACTATCATAGATATATACCTAATAGTACACTTTAGAAATTTCAAGTAGGTACCCACGAATAATATTATATAATCACAACAAAATAACTAGGTTTTTTAATATGTAATTTCGTCCAAATTTGAACATAAAATGACTATAAAAATAAACTGTGATTGTATATTTTTTTATATTTTTCGGTAAGAGAATTAACTACTTACGTGGAATCTTGTTTTAAATTTTCAATCCTTAACTATAAAAACTGAACATTTTATAATTTATTAATTACGATGATTAATAATTTTCGAGATTTTGAAAAATTCTGTCAAAATTCGATGTTTAAATGCTTATAAAAAAAAAATTGTGCCTATGTATTTTTAA